CAGATTACATATTTTTAAGCAGAAGTCCGGGTACAAATGTTATTACTCTTGCAGTGGGGCTACTCCCGCACTGCAAGGGTTAAGTGCTCGTTTTTGTCTAGGTTTAAAAATAACGAAGATAAACTCACCCAATCTTCCAAGCTGGCCGACTTGTACAGGGTTCCCTCCTGCCTGTCTCCTGCTCCGCTGCAGCGATGGTATGTCCCTCAGCGTCCTCATGTCCTATGCACAGCGTATAGAGTGTGATGACTCAGGGACCTTAGACATTTGCAGCAGAAGGGGAGTGAAGTGGGAGGGACCGGTATAAGAGCAAGGCAGCTCCTAGGATCGGGTGAGTATAACTTTTTGAAACTAGACACAAACAAGCACTTAACCCTTGCATTGTAGGGGATTCAGGGGAAGGACACATCTCCTACCTAGGAAATCTGATACAGTGAGTAAGCCTAGGTATTTATGCATTGTGTGGCTGTGCTGGTAATGGTCAGCTCAGTAGCCTCCCAACCTCTCACTGCAAATTTTCTGCTGGCAAATAAATGCCACAGTGTATGTACCAGTGGTTAATAAGCTGCTCACTTTGAAAGCAGTCAGTGAGGTGCCACTTGTTCTGTGGACGTTAGCCACTCTGAATGTTCTCTTAATGCTTATTAACTTACCAAATGCAAGGGAAACACTGTAGGGGTTTATTCACTAGAGCCGAAGTCACATGCTTTGGCTCGACTGAGCCGAAGTGACAGCCGAAGTGTGGCAAACGGCCGGCCGTTCACCCTGCAAATGACAGCTGGGCAGAGCCAGCCATGATCTCGCCCAGTTGTGGGGGCGCTGATCTATCATTAAGCAATAACAACTTATTCATTGGCCGGTACCTGCTAGAACACTCAATCAGGTGCCGGCCAATAGGAAACAGTTGGGCGGAGCTAGCTGTCACTGCTAGCTCCGCTCAATTGTTTTTTCAATGTCCTATTTGTTTTCATCTTTAAAATAATTTGGCAACAGTTTTATTTATTATTTTTTTTCTCCTTTTAACTCCTTTTCTATTCTGCTCGGTACCTCGGAGGTACCGAGCAAAATAGCCGAGCCGAATGTCGCTCGGCTGACCTTCGGCTATTCACTCACTGCCGTGCGGCCCCTATGACAGTAGGGGCGAACGGCAGCGAGTGAGCTGCCGGAGCTTCGGCTCAGCCGATCCAGATGTTGGATCGGCTGAATCGAAGTCCCTCTGCACTTTGCTCAGCCGAACATGCAGAACATGTTCGACTGACCGAAGTGCAGCCGATGTAGGGCTGATTTCAGTGAATAGTCGAATTTCACTTCGCCTGGGTTATTCACTCGGCTGCCTTTGGCAGCTTTGTGAATAACCCCCTTAATATGTAATTGAACTAACTGTATGTAAGTACCAGGGTACCCAGTAGTAGGTATGATAACATACCGTTAGGTATCCTTGCTAAAGGTTTCAGCTAGTTGACAGCATGAGATAGAATGCTATAGAGATAGAGATCCAACTATGAAATGATAATTTGTGGTTTCTTAACATAGACCAGAATCATCCCTGCATTCTCAATTTTGGATAATAGAGAATCAACTGAAAATGTCTAGCAATACCAGATGTCTTTTTATTCAGCTTTGAATCTAAATTGTCATGATAGATCAAACAAAATCTTTCTGGATGAAAAGCATTGACATTAGTAGCACTGAAACACATTGATGTAATGACTGTAAATGTGGCTGGGTTTGTTACCTTCAGAGAGGAGATATGTCACATAGAAAGCACCAGACTCAATGATCCTTAATCTACAGGATTCTAATTTACTACAGCAGTTTCTGCACGCAGAAAGAATCATTTCAAGGAATGTGACAACTCTGAAGTGGCACACGGCCAAGCTTCCAGAGTTTGAAAACTGTTGAGTTGGTCTGACGCAGTTCTTCCATCCAAACGGGTTATTTTGCTAGGGATTTCCCCATAATGAATACTTGCGGATCTCACTGATTAAAGTGACATTTGGAAACTGGTAAGTGGACTGGGAGAAGCTGTTTACGTTAGTTTGTCTTCCAGTTCCTTGAACAAGAGTTCAGTGTTTGAGCTCGGACAATCAGAAATTCCACACATCATCGATGTGCTGAGAGAACTGAAATCCAATCTTGAGGGACGTCTGAAGTATGCACAGTTCCACCAGCTCAGACACAAGGTGGAGAGGCTGGAGTTAGACAGTAGCAGATGGAACCAATAACGTGTACAGGAAAGTATTGGGTAGCATGGTTGTATTTAGGCACTTCTCTGGAGACCACTCCACTTAAACAGCCCATAATCTTTTGCTACATGTGTTGGCTTTTTTATTTAACCTACAAGGTGTTCTTTTTTTCCAGAGATGAAGTAAGCTCCGGGGGCTACGGCAGATTGATTTGCTTTTCTGATTATGTTCCCTTCTTACGTTTTACTAACAAATCCACGGCAAAATAAAATGGCTGTATACTGTTTCTTGGTGTCTGAAGAATGAGTTTTCTTTATTATTTATGATAAAAATGTAATTACAGGACAGCCATCAATGCAAACATAGGAAGTGGAGATTGGGATGGGGGTGGTGATTGTCCTTTGCATACCTCCCAGCTGTCCCTCATTTGGAGCCAAATCATTCTGTCCCTCTTTCCTCCTAAAGCTGGTTACACATGATACATTTGTATCAATAGACTTGATTTCAGCCTTGCCTTGCCCCCTTCCCCTACACACACTCACAAATGTGCATACACACACACACACATATACATACATAGAAGCAATATGTACATACCAAAATACAAACCATACAAACCAAAATTACATGAAGCAGAATTTCCTGGCCGTCATTTCACCTTCGTACTGGAGCAGTTTTTTATTTTTGCACAAATCTGAATTTTTGGATAGAAAAATACTTTAAACTCCCAAGCAATTAGCTATTTTCTGAAAGCAGAGGCCTATAGAATAAAGAAATGGTAGCTGCATTTTTTATGTTGTACGATATTTGTGTAAATGTTTATCAAATCGATATTTTTAGGAAAAATTACTCTATATTAAATTTTAGTGCACTCAAACATAATATAATACCCATTTAAAAAAAAAAACATAAAGGAGGGGGGTCATGCCGAATAGATAGTTTCCAAACATGCCAAGCCTTAAAATTGTTAATGTCTGTGCAGTGGGGAAAAACTATGGTACTCTAAATTGTCCATAGGCGACACTTTAAAAGCCTCTACTGCTCATCAGTTTAGAGTTAACAGCAACAAATGGCCCCAGAATTATTGTTCACACTCTGATGTTCATGGTGCAATCGCCATTCCTGTACATGTGCATGTCTTACATTTGCATGAAGGTGGCGGGTTGCTTTTAAATATTTTTTATTTTATTACAATTTAAATTTTTAACACTTTTAACAAAAATTTCCACTAACCTTTTTGCTATCACAAAGGGGCTAACAATGTGAAAGCATTGGTTCTCTTTATGAAGACATCAGGGTTCTATCAGGTCCTTCATGTCTTTCCTGCCCTCTAATACAGAGGATCAAGCAAAGGGTTGTGTTTGATCGTCTGTTTACCCCGCACTCCAGTCGGGCATCTGACAGCTCTGAAGCAGGAAACTCTAAGAGCTAAGTGGTTCTTGCTTCAGGGATCACAGAGCACATTGTGGAATGGACAATCCTCGGACATCCCTCCCTACTCCCATTCTCTACCCTGAATGCATTTGCCACGGTCCCAGGCCTCCCAGGGGGAGTGGGAAGGCCCAGTAACTACAACACAGCAGTAGCAGTATAAATAGAAAATAATTTAGTGAATATAGCTAGGAACTTAATAATTAGACCAAATATGTTACATGTCAAAAAAAACTTTTTATTTGCATTTTTCCCATATCTCTGCTTATAATTACAAATATATTCAGGGTATTGTTTAAAAAAAAAACTAAATAAAGGCCACATATGTGCTAAAAAATGGTGTGAAAATAATTTTGTAGACCAAAGCAGTTAAAAGTATTGTTCAATAAACCGCTGCATACCAAAAATGTGGTCTGGTCACCAAAGATTTGATTGCTTTGGGAGTTGAACTGGTAATGCTTCTGTTCTACATACTTGTTGCAGTCAGTGACTCAAACTACTGATGCCAGTCAGCAAAACTAAACTTTCAGAAGGAGAGGTTAAAAATGGCAGCCTTCTTTCTGACAGTTTTATTTTAAATCAGGGCGGGATAAATCCCAGGGCTCAGGTAGTCAATGCTCCTTAAAAATGACAGCTGACTCCCACCTTTTGAGGTTTACCCTACTTGTTGTCAATGGAGATGGCTCCTAAAAAATCCTGCTGGCTCTTGGATTGGACAGACTGGATTCCATGTTAAGTTGTCCATCCTAATTTAAGTATGTTATAGTCTATTTTTTCAGGCCTAAAAATAAATGCACAACCAATTTTTTAAATTGTTCCTGTAGGGAAACAGGTAAATTTGCCTCATACCCAGTAGTATTACGATGTTCGTCGGGTGCGTGCATTAGCACAGTGGAGTTGGGAAGGTAAAAAAAGGCAGATTATTTTACATATGGAGAAGGCAAGGCTGGTTAGTATACATGGTACATGGAGATGAACATCACTCTTACAAAACCTTCATAAGTGTAAATAAAAATGCATTTCCTATTTTGTAGCATATCAGCGGTGGGGGCTCTTTAAGATCCTGGCATGTGTTGCTCTTTATTAATTGGAATACATGCCATCTCATCAGCAGGACAGCAGGCATGCTGTTATTAGCACTTGGATGTAGAACGCTACCTTGGCAATGGTGAACATTAATAATTGATTGTTCTCCCAGCATTAATTCATGCATTGGCTGTAACACAAGACAGTGAATGCTACAGTCTTGCGTACCTGTAGAGTTCCATACGCTCGTACAAATTTACTTTCAGCCCAGTTTTCGTAGTGGACGTTTATTTTATGATCCATTAATAAAATGAAAGTATGAGTCGACAGGCTTATTTTTATCGTGTTCCTCCACAGGAGCTGCACAGACGGAATCAACACCAGCCTGAATCGGCAAAGACCAAAGCTCTGCAGACCGTCATCGAGATGAAGGTACATTTTGTGCAGCCTAACCCTTGTGCTAGATATCCCTGTGGTATGTTAACAATCATACCTTAGAGACCATGCTGTATGTTATATTCTGATTACCCTGCTTTTAATTAATTCATTGCTTCCCATGTTATATGTTGTGTTCTGCTAACCCTTCAGTACAGTAATTGGTCACATGTATTGCCTACCACGCTAACACGTCTTGTCCTGCTTACCTTGCTTTGAGTGTTGTACAACATGTCCCTCTTACCCTGCTGTACAATATTTGTTCCCACACATTGCTTACCATGCCAGATGTTATGTATGTCCCACAAATGCAGCCGTACTGTAAATGGTCACATGCATTGCTTAGAATGTTGTATCTTATGTTGCACACCATGCTGTACATTATGTCCCACCTATGCAGCTGTACAATAATTGGTCCCATGCATTGCTTGCAATGCTGGACGTCATGTCCCACTCACCCTGCTGTACAGTAATTGGTCACATGCATTGCTTGCACTGCCATACGTCATGTCCCATCCTGCTGTAGAATAATAGGTCACATTTTTTGCCTACAATGTTGTACATTAGGTCCCACTTACCCTGCTGTAAAATAATTTGTCTCATGCATTGCAGTTGGTGACATACATTGCTTACCATGCTCTACATTATGTCCCACTTAACCTACTGGTTACCATGTTGTACGTATGCCGCGCTTTGCCTTTGATACAGTTAAGCAAAGGATAGTAGGACCTTGCTGTACAATATAGCCCGGTTACTCTACTTTGCAATAATTAATAACTCATTCTCCGTACTTTTCGGTATGTAATATTTATCTTTCCAAGTTTGCCAGTTACTGGCCTTATTTCTTGCATACATTTGGGTAGATTTACTAAAGCACTTTGAAAGGGAATTTTCCCTTTGCTTTGTGAATGGGGTGAAGGTCTGCTAATTGATGTCATCCAATCATGTAAAAGCTAAAGTACTGTTTTTTTAATGTTTTCTTGCACGTGGTTGGGTATTCTTTGCAAAGCGTAATTGCACCACAGTTACTAAGCTAGGAGAAAACTTCCCCTGCTTTTATTCCCGTTATCCCTCAATGCATGTGCTGAAGGGTTAAAACTTATGACAGTATTTTATTGCTAGCTGCACCTTCCTGTCCCATTGACAACCACTCCCCTTACCTTGCACAGGTGTCACAGGGACAGGAAGTGATTAAAAATCTCCCCAAGAGGGTTCAGCGACAAAGGTTTAAATCTGGCAAAAAACTGAACTCTACCCCATTTTATCCACAACTGAATATAAACACATTTGGCTAGATTTAGACTTTAATACTGTAGTAGGATAGAAAGAGTAATAGTGCATTGTTGAATGCCTTGGGATACAAGGCTCCCAGGCCACCCAAGAACACATTAGAAGATAAGTGCAAATATCTCAAAGTGCCTGCTTTGCAGTTCTGTTGTCATTTTTGTACTTTTAAACTGTTCCCAGGCTTACAGTAAAAAAGAAGGTGGCTAGATTCTTAATTAAAGCGACTTGCCACATAATAAACATTTTTTTTTAAAAATGGCTGTTTGTAAGGAAACAATTAATACTCACATCACCCTGCTGATCTTCTCTCTTTTTGAGGACTCAGTCACACTTCTGCCTTGTGGTAACATGTCTGTTAATGTACGTGTTATCACACGTGTTAGTCCGTTGCAGTGCCACGTGTCAGCCTGTTCAAATGAGTGGGTTGCCTTAATGTGCCATAACATGAAGGCCTGATCCGCTTCCTGATTCATGAAGAAATGATCCGCTTCCTGATTGGCCGGGAAGCTGGCTCAATGCTGATTGGCTGGAAAGCCGGCTTCCCAGCCAATCAACAAGGAGCCAGCTGTTCAGCCGGCTTGATGCTGATTGCCTGGGAATCAGCATGGAGCTGGCTTCCCAAGCAATCAGGAAGCCAGGTGGCCGGTCATTACTCGCAGTCCGGCTTCCTGATTGCCCAGGAAGCTGGCTCCATGTTCCCCTATGGCACTGCCGGTCAGAGGAAATCTTCCTCTAACCGTAAGTTCGGTATCGGGGAAGGTATCGGAGCATTTGGGAGAGTACAAGTACTCGCCCAAATACTCGATATCGACACTGATACTAGTATCATTGCATCCCTAATCTTTAGCATTCATCACTTTTAGGAAGGTCCCCTTCTGCACTTTGTAGCTCGATCTGCTGCCCCCTTGGTCATTATAGGACACAGTAGTGAGATAGGAGCTGGTGGATGATATAGGGGTTAATCTTAGCTAGTTTTAGGTTAAAGCACTTTTAAAGGCTATGCATTTTTACCTTAATACATTCTCTGCCTTAAAGGAGAACTATAGGGTTGTCTTTTCCCCATAGTTCTTCTTAGGGTAACGGGAGGACACAAACTAGCATCCTCCCATCACCCTAGGCTCAGTCTCGCGGTATACTAAGACGTCGCTGTATATGCTTCTGCCTATCTAAAGGCAGAGCCAGCTGTACCCGCCCCCTCCCCCGTCCGTTCCGCCAGTCAGCGCTGGCGGATCGGAGTGGGGAGGGGGGAATCCAGCTCCTCCGCTGTCACGGCAAAGAGCTCCCGATCTACTGAGACCTCCCGATCTACTGAGCCGACCTGTGACAGTCTCATTGTCACAGGTCGGCTAGAACTATGAGGTGAGTGAAAATCACTCACCTCGTAGTTCTCCTTTTAAGGTAAAAACGCCTCAGTGCCTTTCCGTGTCTCCCAACCCCAAACACTTACCTATGGCTCGTGTTCACTGCTGCTATCTCCAAGACAATCTGCACTGTTTCCCTGAATTTTTCGGAGGCAGGGGGAGGATCTTGAAGGCCCTCAGGATAGATGAGAAGGAGGCAGGAGCAGGCATGGCTTTGCCGAACACTGTGTATTTCAATGGACGCACTCAGCTCATGACAAGAGCAGGCAAGCACAAGTGTCTCCTTTGAAACCTGCTAGGTAAAGGACACACATGCAAACAGGAGGGGAGGACAGTGGTTTGATATCAGAAAATAAATGCAATTATGCAGTTTTAAGCAACAAGAAAATATCCTCCTGTGCTGAATTAAAAAAGAAAATAAACAAGGGTTTAATGTCTCTTTAAAGAAACGTTTTCTAGTCTCCAAGGTGAATAGGGACCACATAACATTGCATAATCTTTTGCTGCTCTCAAGTAATTGTTTGGCAGTGGCACATGCATTCTGTTTCATGCGACAGCTGATTTGACTAAATCAGGCTTGTTTTGAACTGCAGGTTATCTCTTAAAAGCCAGTTTAATTATGTGGAAATACAGCCATTAAGAAAATGCATTTTCTGCAAATCAATGTCCAGGTAAATTATCTCGAAATGCTTTTAGCAAAATGACACGGTTGAGAGGGACAAGAAATAAGATAGGGATTGTGAATCATAAGAAATGGAAAGAAATCTAAAGAGGGCATTTTTTCACCAACTTGTAGAAGCCGTTAAGCACATATCACATAAAAAGGGAAAAGCCGGATATTGCTTGAAGTGTTGTTCCACTTTTGCAGTCGAATTTGAGAAACCCCCCTCTATATCTTTGTTATGCGATCCTGATCACACAGCATAAAGAAAAATAATAATAACATAAAATATTTGTTACCTTTTTAGACCGATTACAGATTTTTTCTCAGCACCTTTCTGGTGATTTGTCCTAATGGAAAGGCTTAGGACTGAAATGCGAGGACTGTGTTTTCCTTATTCACTTCATTAACATACAATGGACAAACCACCTCAGATACCTCACCTCTCACAGCCCCTCCTAACACTGCAAAGAAAGATGAGCAAGTAGAAAGGTTAACCCTTAAAACCATAACCCAAGTAACAACAATTTAAACTGCAAGAAGCATGTTTTAAATATTTTTTTTTAGCTTATGCTATCTGAATGGGAACATGTAACAAATATAAAATAGGTGTTGTCCCAACTTGACTGAAAAAGTGGAAATACACTTTCAAAAATCCAGGGAAATAGCTAAACAGAGTTTAATTTATGTATGTAATTTATTAAACAATTTCTACCTCACACGTTTCACTCGGTTTTGTTTTCTTAACTTCCTGTCTCCTTATCACTGGAAAAGGAGGAGAAATCTTTTAATAGACACATACAACAACAAAAAACACAGTTTCTTAGTACAGTATCGGAGTATTAGAACCTATGTCAGGTTTTTATTACTCACGGTGTCCCATGTGGGTGGGAAAGTCTCCTAAATATTCTAAGTACATCTGCACTTAAAGTTTTCTCTTAGACCTTCTGCAAAGGCCCTCAAATACCTGTTAGAAAGACCAACCTAATGCAGCTTTCAGTATTGGTGTGGCAACAATGCTGCACTGTTCCTGAATTCAGTTATGGGGGTGTCACTACCAGCATTGTCACTGCTGATTTATAAGCCTTGTCAAACCAGTACCTGGTCCTAACCACTGCTTTCGGGATAGAAAGCACTGCCTCTGTCGCTGAAATCCCCACTGTCAGCTGCAGTGTCAAGAAGTGGGAGCCTGTGAGACACAAATATAGGGGGATTTGGCTCAGTCAAGGAGGGTAAAGGAAGTTATTTGTTTGTCTTATAAGGCTTGTGTATCACACTGTACCTGGATTTGGTACTTGTCTAGACTATCATACAGGAGCCTTTACTTGTACTTTAAATTAAATCTCTCATAAGTGAAATGCGGGGCTGCCATTATTGCTGACTGTTTTTTTTAAATGTTAGTTGCTTGATTTTATGGTTAAATCAGCTAAAACAGGTCTGTAGATCAGAAAAGTCATAATTCCATATTTACAGATGTGCTCAGGGTCAGGCTTAGGAACAAGAGGGCCAGGGTAGCAAGCAGACAACCAGCATTCTTCAAAAGAGAGGTTATCAATGGCGGCCTCCATGCTTTTTTCTTGATTAGTGTATGTATAGACAAAACAGTTTTTTTGTATTCAGTAGGTAAGGATCACAAACCCGGTCTGTGTCCCTGCTGGAGAGATTCACCCTCTCTATTTGTTCAGGTA